AAGACTTGCCAACCGCTTTGGCATTGGCTAGAGAAGCAGAAGCCAGTATTGAGCGTAGTGTATTTTTGGCTTCGTACGCCAAAGCTATAGAGGAAAAGGCTCAAGGGATTGAGTCGTTCACAGGCTAGGCATGGCAAAAACTTCAGGGACGAACGGGGTCATGGCCATGAAAGAAACCCTCATTTTGTCAAGAAACAGCAGCAAGGCAGCGATGAACAAGAAAAAAATGTTGTGGTTACCCAAGTTCAAAGCCCAGAGCCAATGGACATAGACTTGTCCTCCAAATTTATGCAGCGCACTGATTTCGGGAAACCTCAGTCTAATACTGTACAAACAAGAGACGAAACTCCTCCGAGCGTATGACTGGTCAAAGGCGTCAGAGATTGAATAATATCAATCAACAAGCCCAAGAGCAGGACACCCAGAAGTACGGGGAGGTGGCTTCAGCGGCAGCTGCAGCTATTGTTGACGACCTTGAGTCGGATAGTGAACGTGACTCACTTAATTTTTTAGTGCACGCTCCCGGTTTCCTTTTGTCGAGAGGCAACTGGCTGGGAGGAAATTAAGAATACTGATTGACACTGGAGCGGCGAAAAACTATATTAAGCCTATAAGTGGCCTTAAAGGTATAGTTCAAGTCGACATCCGGCAAAAGTGTCAGATGCATATTTTTGGAGTTAAAACTCCTTTCTTTTTATTAAATTCGTTAACAGCGTTTGATGGGAAAATAGGCCTTGATCAGTTAACACAGGTGGGGGCAACGCTGGATTTGAAGCAAGATTTAATAGTATATGGGGATGTAGCAGAAAAGTTACAGTATCAGAGCTGCGACAATGTCAATTTTACCCATGTCGATGACATAGTTGTGCCAGACACCGTGCGTAAGGAGTTCAGAAGCGTAATTCTTAACAGAATCAAAGTTTTTTCGAGCCCCAATGAGGCACTGCCTTTTAACACATCGATAGTAGCTACGATTCGCACAGAAGACAGCCAGCCAATTTATTCAAAATTATACCCTTACCCTATGGGAGTAGCGCACTTCGTGAATAACGAAATTAAGCAATTGCTGAAAGATGGCATCATTAGGCCATCAAGATCCCCATATAACAGCCCTGTATGGGTTGTAGACAAAAAAGGAACTGATGCCAGTGGCAACAGGAATAAGCGGCTGGTAATTGATTTTCGCAAATTAAAAGAGCGAACCATTGCTGATCGCTACCCAATGCCAAGTATCCCCATGATTCTTGCAAATCTGGGAAAGGCCAAGTTTTTCACCACCCTAGACTTAAGGTCAGGGTACCATCAAATTTATCTTGCGGAACAGGACCGTGAGAAGACTTCCTTTTCAGTTAGCGGCGGGAAGTATGAGTATTGTCGTCTCCGCTTCGGCTTAAAGAATGCGGGAAGCATCTTTCAGAGAGCAATAGATGACGTTTTAAGGGACCAGATAGGAAAAATCTGCTACGTCTATGTGGATGACGTTATCATTTTCTCTGAGGATGAGCTCGATCACGTTAAGCACATAGACACGGTATTAAAATGCCTGTGTGACGCTAACATGCGAGTATCACGCGAGAAGACAAAATTTTTTAAAGAAAGCGTCGAACATTTGGGCTTTATAGTAACTAGGGCAGACACAAAGTCAGACCCCAAAAAGGTTAGGTGCATACAAGAGTTCCCCGAACCAAAAAATCTCTTTAGCCTTAGATTGACAGACTTGCTTAAAGGCGAAAACGGTACGGTTAGCAAGCATGTCTCGAAAAACGTCAAAATTGAATTTAATGAAATACACCGTGACGCATTCGAGCGCTTGAGAAACATTTTAGCGTCTGAGGATGTAATTCTTATGTACCCCGATTTTAAACGGCCTTTTGACCTTACCACTGACGCTTCTGCAAATGGTTTTGGTGCTGTTTTATCCCAAGGAGGTAGGCCGATCACTATGATATTCCGAACTCTTAAACAAAGCGAGTCACACTACGCTACTAATGAAAGAGAACTTTTGGCAATCGTGTGGGCGTTGGGGAAATCGCAGAATTTTTTGTACGGCACCAAGGATATAAACATTTTCACCGACCATCAACCGCTTACCTTTGCGGTCTCAGATAGAAACACGAACGCAAAAATTAAGCGATGGAAAGCTTTTATTGATAAGCATAATGCCAAAGTTTTCTATAAGCCAGGAAAGGAAAATATCGTAGCTGATGCCTTGTCTCGGCAAAACCTGAATGCCTTACAAAATGAGGTTCAATCTGATGCCGCTGCTGTACATAGCGAAGTGTCTCACACCTATACCATCGAGACTACAGATAAGCCGCTCAATTGCTTCAGAAACCAAATAATTCTGGAGGAAGCGCAGTTTCCTTTGAAGCGCACGTTTGTACACTTTCGCGAAAAGGTGCGACATCAAATATATATCACTCACGATGATGAAGCACTTCAAGAGGCAAAAAAGGTGGTTCAGCCAAACCTCGTAAACGCGATTCGTTGCAATCTGCACATTTTGGCTTATTTACAGCATGAGCTCGTAAAAACCTTTCCGGGAACAAGACAATGGTGACCGATATAACTGACAGGACCGAACAAAAAAAGATAGTTATAGCCGAGCACAGTCGCGCTCATAGAGCGGCACAAGAAAATGTTAAGCAAATTCTCGGCGATTACTATTTCCTAAAAATGGCTAAGCTGGTCACAGAGGTAATAGTGAACTGTAATGTCTGCAATAGAGCCAAATACGACAGACATCCTAAAGACAGGAGCTAGGTGTAACCCCAATACCATATTATGCTGGTGAGATTCTCCACATCGATGTCTTTTCTACTGATAAAAAGCTATTTTTGACATGCATCGATAAGTTTTCTAAATTTGCTATTACTCAGCCAATAGTATCTCGGTCAATAACGGATATTAAGATCCCTATTGTTCAGCTTGTAAACGTCTTTCCCAAAACCAAAGTAATCTACTGTGACAATGAAGCAGCGTTTAACTCTGAAACTATTAGGTCGCTCTAAAAAAATCAGTTTGGTATCGACGTTGTCAACGCACGCATAGTTCGTCAAATGGGCAAGTGGAACGCCTCCACAGCACTTTACTAGAGATCGCAAGGTGCCTAAAGTTGGAAAAGAAGTTTGAAGATACAATTGAGAGTATTATGCAAGCGACTGTAGAATATAATAGGACTATTCATTCGGTTACTGGAATAAAACCTATAGACGCAATTCACGCTTCGAGTGAAGAGTTTAAAGAAAACATCAAGAACAGGTTAATAAACGCTCAGCAAGCTCAACTAGAAAGAAATAACCCTTCCCGACAAAACAGGATATTCGAGGTAGAGGAAAAGGTGTTCCTAAAAAACAACAAGAGATTAGGCGACAAGCTAACACCTTTATTTTCTGAAGAGAAAGTTCAGGCAGACCTGGGAACGTCTGTTCTTATAAAGGGGAGGGTGGTCCACAAGGACAATTTAAGATAATTGCATATCTATTGAAAGTTAGGATAAATTAGTAAACTTGAACACAGAAACACTGAATGAAGCTAATGAAAGAATTTAAGGGAAAAGGAGGAATGGCATACTCGATGCAAATGACTCATACGTGAAACGCTGTTGGCCAAGAATTGAATGCGGTTTCTAATGCTTACTCTCACAGAATCAAATGCTTATTTTTAGCCAAAGCGATTTAAAGTTATAATTTACAGAACATTTCACAGTAATTTTTTAGTCTGTCCGTTAAAGGGTGCAAATCTGCTGGTGGCACATAAGAGCGCCGTGCTGCAACAAATAGGCGACACTGTAGCTGAATGCGTCAACGGAACTCTGACCGTAAGAGACTGGCGAACCACTAATTACATACTTAGCTATATCGCAAAACGTTTCCACTCGTCGACTGTATGCCGGAGTTTGACCGAATCCTACATGTATCCAAATAATATCACATTGATTACAATGGTGAAGAGAGAGCGATCCTGATGCAAGTAAAACTGGCAAGACACAAAACCAATGAAGGACCGAGAAGATGTGCGAGCGATCTGCCTTTCAATATCTTTAAACGATCGGCAATAGCTATCAGCACCGAGATATTTATGTCTTCGTGAAGTGTCTGCATAAGTTTGAGGATCTGTCGTCTCTCCATTAACAATATCATTGCACATAACTCGGCATTACGTCTACGCAGCAAGGATGCCCACGAATGAAATAAAAGGTCCTCCAAGGCGTCGAATATAAATAAGAATCAGTTGTGGCTATTGCAGTGGCTCCTGGTCTTTAAAGGCTCAAACCTCCTTTACCTATGAATAAGGAGGCAACGAACTGCAACGGAGATCTAGATGGCCGATAATGGTTGGCATTGCCCGGTACGGTCAAACTTAAGGGGGGAATAGTAAACAAGTTACCCTCGCGCTGAGCTAGCCGGTGAATTGCTGTGATATACTGTCGCTCGCTCCCAATGCGAGAGCAGCATTATCACGTATGCTAAGTCGGCTGGCCGACTACACTTGGTAGCTTATGCTCATTTCTTTATCTCTCTTTCTCTCTTAGCATAATCTCCCTTCATAGCATAGTTTAAGTATACTTAATTTTGTAACCTAGTTTTAGTTGTACTTGGCACGTAAAGCAAGCAGAAGCTTGAAATAAACTTCTACACCAGCTATAGCTGATCTTCTTATTTATTGTTGCTAAGCCACAAGGCTAGTAACTGGTACCCGAATACCCAACCTAATCTTCATTTCCTTGCTCCACAACTGGAGCGGCTTCGACAGTGGATACCCCGGCAATTCCCTTGCAGGACCTGGCAAGTTGGTCCATACCCTGACTGGAGTCGGACAGCAGCCATGACGAAAAGGTCCCCTGGCAGCACCTTATATGTAGAAGTTTTACTTGTATAAAAAAATGGCACTGTTTCAATTTTCGTCGTTTTTCGATCACCGCTATTTCAGCGATGCTATTTTGACACACATCGTAGATTAATTTCGAACTAAAGTTAGTAATCGAGTTCACACTGAATATTATGTAATTAACCCAACAGTCACTGTTATTTAAAGAGTATTTTTTTTTAATGTCAAATATGAAAGTGGCTCAAGTTGCGCTTAGCTGGCTTAGCACTCTCCGCTCTGATGTCAGGCTACCCTCTTTATGTCGATCACATTTTACCTACTATCCCACTTCATTGGGAACTGGAAAAAAAATGAATATGTTCAACGCTATAAACAATGCAATGGATTTGGCGCTAAGTGATGACAAATCGGCATTGTTGTTTGGCGAAGATGTAGGATTTGGTGGAGTTTTTCGGTAAGTAAAACATATATAATAACTAGACTGTTCAATACCTAATAAATTTGCCCCTCAACAGTTGTTCTGTTAATCTACGAGACAAATACGGAAAGGAACGTGTTTTCAATTCACCTCTATGTGAGCAAGGAATCGCAGGGTTTGTTTTAAATATTTTAATACTATGTATAGCAGAAGAGATAATGTTTGCACAAACAATGTTGTTCCTTAATTTTGTTCCTCGTAAAAAAGCGTCTTATATTCAAAAATGTTATTTTTCATTTAAAAATGAAAATTTTTTTTTCAACTTTTCAACTACAAAAAAATTTAAAAAACATCAAACATATAATTTTTTTTATTTTTTTTTTCCGATTGTTCCTATGGGAGCTATATGCTATAGTCGTCCGATCCGGCTCGTTCTGACTTATTTAGTACCTGCAATACAACGACAAATGTCTTCTTCACTGCGTTTCAAACTTCTGACTGACTCTCTGCAAAGGTATAAAAATTACTCTCTGCATTGACAGCAGAATTTGTATTTATATTGTATTGACAGATATTTTTTTTAAAATTGTAATTGAAAAAAAAATCGATCGTTCAAACCTAGTACATTTTATTTCGGAGATCTGTGCAATATTTGATTAAGATCGTTTGAGTAGGTCGCGTGAAATCTTAACAGAATTTAATAAGAAAATAAAAAAAAATGTTTTTTTGAAACTGAAACCCGTGAAACCCCTTGATTCGGCAGATTCCATCAAATTTGGTTTGCGTAATGAAGAGTACTGCGGTCGCAGAAAAAAAGAGGGTCGAGAACTTGTTGATATGATATGATTGGAATATCAAACCAATTGTGCCACCGATAAGTGAAATATCGTTTTGTCTCTCGTTCTTCGTGACCATTTCGTCAAAAATTCGACGCCTAAAAATTCTGCCTAACTACTGCATTCGCATGATTTGGCTTCATGTGACATCTGGTTATTTTAAAACTCAAAAGTCCACTCCGGGGAACGCGTTTCGGGTCGATTAAAATAAAAACCGAATCCAAGATGGCGTTGATGGCTATACCAGACAGGACGGACTTTTTGGCATGTTTCAAGGATTGGAAAAATCGTTATCATATTGTATCGGGAAGGGAGTACTTTGAAGGGTATGACATTGGGCGTAATCAGCAGATCAACATGATCACTGATCATTGATGCATTTCTTACGATAGTTCTGAACGCGTATGATCACTGATCATGGTGCAAAAATTCTTACATCATGATCAGCAAAAAAGTAGCGTAAAAAAGTAAGCTATCTTTTCTTAATACATGATACATATCTGTAATCGTATATCGGTCGTATAAATATCTATAATAATAAATAAAAAACACAATAAACAATAAATAAATTTAATTATTTCTTTATAAGTATCGACAAGAAGAATTGCAAGAATTTTTTAAGTGTGATGTGGCTACGAATGTAGTGGGCAGTGCTGTAGTATCCGGTCCAGATTTTGCTTTCAGCTGTAAAAAAAATAAGTTAGCCACCTTGCCTTTCTTAATACAACAACATAATATAGTTACTGTTTTTGCTGTTTCTGGCGCGAAACACCTTGATACCAATAAGTTCCAAGCCAATAAATTTTTGCGAGGGCGGAATGTATCATAAGCGTTCAGCTGAACAAACTTGATCACTGATTACTGATCCATCAGTGAGCTCTAAGCGTGTTGTTCTGCTGAATACGCCCATTGATTTAAAGGATATGTTAAGAATTTTCATTTTACAAGCAAACAAAATAATTCGATCCTTCCTATAGCAGCATTAGAATGTCATTGTCCAATTCGTAAAAATGTAAACAACTCGAAGTATATACAAAAAATTTTAAAAAAAGAAAAGAAGTACAGCTTTTTCATTTATTTTTTCTTTAATAAATAAATGAATAAAATAAATAAATATTCTAAAATATTTAACCATATCTTTAGTATTTAGTGTACTCAAATAAAATTAAAAACAGCAGAGATATACTTTTTTTCATTTATTTTTTCGATCGAAATATAATAAAGATGCTTAATTTATGTACTTGCTGCTACAAAAATACAACATTGTGGTGCATATAGCTTTAAAACTGAGAGACTAGTTTGGTAGAAACGAACAAACGAACATGGCTAGATTGACTAGATCGGCAAAGGAATAGCATCAGCTTTTAGAGTCGATCTATGTCCGTCTGTTTGACCATTCGTTTCTACCTAGACAAGTCTTTCAGTTTAAAAACTATCTGCATAAAAGTACCAAAAATTGTATATATGTATATTGCATGTAGAATATAAATGGGAACAAGCCGGTCTCGTAGGAGCCATTTTTATACCCTTGCAGAGGGTATTATAATTTCAGTCAGAAGTTTGCAACGCAGTGAAGTAGACATTTCCGACCCTATAAAGTATATATATTCTTGAACAGCATCACTGGGCGAGTCGATCTAGCCATGTCCGTATGTACGTCTGTCAGTCTTTCAGTCTGTCCGTCCGTTTAAACTTTCCCAAAAGTTGTCTTTCTATTGCAGGTAGTATATAAGTCGGAACGAGCCGGATCGGACGACTATAGCATATAGCTCCCATAGGAACAATCGAAAAAATAAATAAAAAAAAATTATAACTTTGCTGTTTTTCATATTTTTTTTAGTTCTTTGACATATAGTAATGGTAAAACATTTCAGAATTGCGGTTTAAATTTCATCAAAATCGGACGACTATAGCATAAAGCTCCCATAGGAACAATCGGAAAAAACACAAAAAAACAATATATAACTTTGCTGTTTTTAAATTTTTTTTTTGTTCTTCGACATATAGTAATGGTTGAATATTTTAGAATTACGGTTAAAATTTCATCAAAATCGGACGACTATATCATATAGCTCCCATAGAAACAATAAAAATATATACATTAACTATCTAATAATTAAGCTGCAAATCATCATAGCTTCAATGTTATTAAACATATACGCAAGTAAATCATAATTTTAATGTTTTCAAAAATATTTAATTCTTGCAATAGCTGCAAGGGTATATGAACTTCGGCTTGCCGAAGTTTGCTTTCTTTCTTGTTTATTATGCCCTTGCATAAGGTATTATAGTTTCAGTCAGAAGTTTGAAACGCAGTGAAGGAGACATCTCCGACCCTATAAGGAATATAGGAGAGTCGATCTAGTCGTGTCCGCCTGACCGTCCGTCCGTTTCTGCGCAAACTATTCTCGCATTATTAAGGCTCTTTGCGTTAAACTTTCCCTAAAGTTGTCTTTCTGTTGCAAGTAGTATATATGTAGGAACGGGACGGAACGGACGACTACATCATATAGAACCCATAGGAACAATCGAAAAAAAAATTAAAACTTGTTTTTATACCCTTGCAGAAAGTTAGTAGTAAAGTGAAAGCAACGGTTTATTGTTTCGGTTTTTAATTTTATTAAAATTGGACATCGATATCATATAGCTGCTTGTCGAACATAAAAATTTATTATTTTAAGAAATATTAAAGGGTACACAAACTTTTTTTTTGTTTTGTTTTTTGTTTAGCATTAGAGTCTTCCCAAACGTAGTCCATTAAAATAATATTAGAACTAAAATAAAACTAAAAGTTTTTTTTTTGTCAAAATTTTTGTAATAATATTGATGTACTTTGCAACACAAACTTCAGATATTAAACAAAAACACCTCTTAACGAAGAAAAAAAGTCCTGTCGATCAAACATTCAACATAAAAAATTTATGATATTTCATATTTTAACAACAACAACTTGAACATCGACCAACGTGGTGCCGTTTTTGGCATCGCGAGCAATACTAGTTTCTGCTGCAGAGCTCTCACAATCTACGCTTGTACAGACTGGGATCGATCGGTATGTACAAATAAAAAGAAAACTTAGTCCGCAAAAAGCTAAGGAAGCAAATTTGCCTAAACTTACTAAAACTTCAAACAACACCACTAAGGCAACTTCTGCAAACAAATTTTCCATACTTGACGAGCTCAAAAAAAATACAGTCAACCACGCCAAGCCAATAAAATTGTAAAGCCGCCACCTATCTACATTAGAGATCAAAATTGTTCAGATCTAATCAATAAAGTCAAGAAAAAATTGGGCAAAACAACTTTTATATTACTATTTTAAAAAGAGGTAATATATCTCAAACCAAGCTCCAGATCACCAATGAAGCCAACTACCGCTCTGTAACAAACTTTCTGGACAGTAAGCGTGTTAATTATTACGCCTACCAACTCAAAAGTAGTAAAGGACTTCAAGTTGTAATAAAGGGTATCGAGTCAACCGTACCGGGAGCTGATATAGTTGAAGGACTTAAAGAAAATGGTTTTGACGTTTAAGACGTAATGAACATAACCAACAGGGCGTAAATTCCTCAGCCACTCTTCAAGATTGAACTCAAACCAGACACAACTACCTAAAGAAAAACACAGTGCACCCCATATACAAATTGCAATACCTACTCCATCGAAGAATAACCGTAGAGGAGCCGCATAAACGAAACGGCCCGGTACAGTGTTCAAACTGCCAGGAGTTTGGGCACACAAAAAGTTATTGCACTTTGTGTTGGCTGTGGCGACCTGCACTGTATAGAAGCTTGCACGGGTAACGAAGAAGACCAAGCACTGAGAAAATATAGCAACTGTGGTGGAAACCACACTGCTAATTACAGGGGATGCCCCGTCTATAAAGAGATCAAGAGTCGGCTCAACCAGAGGCGCCAACAACCAACCTCCGCCCAACAGGTTGCTCAGCCAAATCTTTACATGGAGTTACTTTTGCGGCTGCACTTCGATACCCTGGAATGTCGCCTACAAGAACAGCTCAGCCCGAAGCATTAGAGCCCCTCCCGCCTATACCAAAACCAAAATATACTCCGCTTCCAGAGCAAAACACTCAAAGACCAACTCAACCTTATAACCAACAAAACCAGACTTACACTCCACAAATACAAAATGTAATAATGCGAAACACCACTACTGGGGCTCTCGTCTAATTAACCCAAAAGGACGCCAATTATACAACGCTATTATCAGACCCGGTAATAAGCTAGATTTTGTTTCACCAGGTACTCCCACATATGGACCAGCATATCCGAACAAAAAACCAGACATCGATTTTGCTGTAACTAGGAGAGTGCCGTCC